CTCTGTGTAGTTTTGGTGTCTTGGACCTCAATCTGTAGTCCAGGTGCCTCGAACTCACAGAGATACGCCTGGCTCTGCCTCCGGAGTACTGGGATTAAAGGCGTGCGCCACCAGCGCCTGGCAAGACAGGGAAAGTTAAAGAGACATTGGAAGGAGGACTAGAGAGATGGCTCAGAGGTTAAGAGCACTGGCTGTTCTTCCAAAGGTCCTGAATTCAATTCCCAGCAACCACATGGAGGCTCACAACTATCTGTAATGAGATCTGATGCCCTCTTCTGGCCTGCAGGCATACATGCAGGCAGAACACTGTATATATGATAAATAAATAAATCTTTAAAAAAAAAAAAAAAGAGACATTGGAAGGAAAAGGAGTCCCTCAGGCTGGAATCTAACAAAAGCTGACAGTCAAGAATTACCAAATAGTTGTTTGCTATGAGAGTGGCCACTTACATAAGAGACAATATTACTTTTTACAAAATATTCAGGCAGGAGAGATGGCTCAGTGGTTAAGATCACGGACTGCTCTTCTAGAGGTCCTGAGTTCAATTCCTAGCAACCACATGGTGGCTCACAACCATCTATAGTGGGATCTGATGCCCTCTTCTGGCATAAAGGCATACATGCAGATAGAGCTCTCATATATATAAAATAAATAGCAAATCCTTAAAAGAAAAAAATATGTATTCATGTATTTTATGTATATGTATTTACATATATATGTAAATGCCCTGTCTTCATGCATACCAGAAGAAGGAATCTGATCCCATTACAGATGGTTGTGAGCCACCACATGGTTGCTGGGAATTGAACTCAGAACCTCTGGAAGAACAGCCAGTGCTCTTAACCCCTGAGCCATCTCTCCAGCCCCAACAATATTACTTTTATATAGAGATGTTTCAAACAAGTGTGTTAAATTGGGGCAACTTCGTGATTCACTGATGTAGAGGCCTTCCTCACCACCCTTCCCATAAAATCACGATCTTTTTAAGCATCTCATAGGAAACCTCATCCACAGTAAAAGACATGTCTTAACCCCCGTGAGCAACCCTTGTGACCCATGGTGTTTCTGTTTTGGTTTCGATAGTTTCAGGTAACCCTGACTGGCCTCACAATCACTACACAGCTGAGGATGACTTTAATTTCCTGATCGTGGGCCTCCACGTGGCCCATACAGTTAGTTCTATCTTATTGATTGTAGTCCTATCCAAGGAACCTGGAGAGCTATCTATAATCTCAATTGGGAAAAGGAGAGAGAGAAAAGGAGTTTCCTAGCAACCGTTTGGAATGTGGCTTGAGAGCCGCTGAAATTTATATACGACTGCAGCTAGGATGTGGAAGCACAGCTCTCTTGAGAAGCCTGCATCTATGCTTGGGCAAGTCTTATCCTTCTCCTGAGCATCTTTCCATTAACTCCCATTCTGAAGCTGACCTCCTGTGTTAAAGAGTCTGCAGGGCTGACTGATTAGCATGTCTACGGCTGTGGAGATCTGGGGTATTGCAGACCTGCAGCCAAGTTATCTTGGGCTATCTTTAGGCCATCTCTGCGTTTGACCTAACAATATTGTACGATGTCAGATAAATCCCTTTTGTGGGGTAATAGCCTCAGGTTATGAGGAACTGAGTCAGGCAGTACTAAGCAGTAGCCACTAGCCATAAAGAATAGCTTAGCACGGGCCTGATGAATCTGCTCCACCCACGGAAACAATATGCCTGGGTATGGAAAACAAGCCACCCTGCTTCCAGTCAAACTCCAAGAAATAGCTGTAACTGCCTGGAAGCTACCCACAGATGTATATACACTTGTCTCCAGCCCTCTACGTGTGATCAACCTTCATTCTACAGATAGACTAAGCCCTCAATGTTCCCACAAAGCAGTCTCAGCCTGTTGAGAACCAGTCTGTCTGTTTCTCCTCCTCCTTTTTCTTACATCTGGTACTGAGACCCGGGACCCTTTTAGGGTCCTCTGAGTAGAGAGCCCTCCTTTCCCTCCCTGGGGTTATTCTTACAGCAACTTGGACCCCTATATAAGGCTCACTATATAAGACTCACTCTATAAGGCTCACTATATAGGCCGAACGGCCACCAGTTCAACCTGTCCCCTCTGGTCTTTTGGGACCTCTGCCTCCATCAGCAGTGAACTCAGTTAATGCTTGCTGGCTTTCAGCCATCCTGGTAAGAGCGAAAATATTCTAAAAAGAGACGCTTATATCCCTGTTATAGGCCTGGATCAGGATCTGGAGGGTATCCACTGGGATGTCCACGTCTCTTCCATGAGGGTGGGTGATTGACCACACACACTTTTGTGTGACATGTCCTGATCCATCCTTTGCCTAGTTGGGCCAGTCCATCAGCAGGGGGTCTTCTGGTGGGAGACAAAAAGCCTACAAGGCCTTTGTTTAGAGCTGCCAGGCTTTTGTCTCAAGTTGGGAGGGTGAGGAAGAAGCTGGCCATCATGGAAGCTCACCAGCTTTATTACCTGGCCACAGCCCCTCTCTCCCTATCTGTGTGCCGACCAAGGAGTCTAGCCAATGTCTGGTTTTTCTCTGTGTGTCTGCTGCACGTGTGTCTCCTCACCTCTAATAAACACCGTTGTTCAACTGTTGATTCTGTCTGCAGTGTTGGATATTCTCTGCTGCCACCTTTCACACTCCAGATCTTTCCTGCCTTTTTGTTTCTTTAGCTGGCAGAGAAAACAAGCCCAATTAAGACCCCTAGACGGGCTGGAGGGATAGCTCAGCCGTTAAAGGCTAGGCTCACAACCAAAAATATAAGACCCCTAGACTGGATCATCAGGACTGCCTGCCCAGGGATCCTTATAGAGGCATTTTCTCAATTAAGATTCTTTCTCCCCAGATATGTCTCTAGCTTGTGTCAAGCTGACACAAAACCAGCCCTCACAAGGTCTTCACAAAGGCTGTTCCTCCTCCTACCTATCCTACCCAGAGGCCTGCAGTTTCCCGGAAAGTCTGGATCCAGCAACCAGGCCCAGAGGGGCCCGGCCACATAGCTGGCCCTGAAGTCTAGACCTTAGCCAGCCTACTTGAACTGTATGCTGCCTTTTCACTCTGGTCTTGAGCGCAGCTGTTGTGAAGTTTCAGAATTTGGTGCTAAAAATCCTCCACGGCCTAGAAGGGCCAACGAAGGATCTAGCCACTTGTGGGGGGCGGGGAGCGAGGGTTATTTAGAGCTTCGATGGAGGCTCACTTACAATGTTGTAAGGGGTAGATCCTATACACTCAAACCCTCAGAAAAGGCGGCCCTCTGATGGACAGGAGGGACCTCTGGGAGCGGGGACATTCCCATCACCTCCTGTCTCTTCACAGGACCTCCAGGGGAAGTGGCTGTGTGGTGCACATCTATTATTTCAGCTATTGGGGAGGCAGGGATTCAGTCTGAACTCGGGAATTTGAGGGTAGCTCAGGCCAACAGTGCCCAGCGCTGCTTGTGTCTCTAGCTCTCTAGAACTTGGAGTTTCCAGAGCTTTTCCTCACCAATGGCTCTCCAGGTAGAGAGTTACTGAAGCAGGCCTGTGACACCATGCCCTGCAAAAGTATTTCTTTAAGTTCTTCTGGGTAGACTTGCTAAGGGTTATATAGTAATTCTATGTTTTATTTAAATAAAATGAAATTATTATTATTTTGGCTTTCCGAGATAGGATTTTGTTATGTAGCTCAGGTGTCATGATCTCGAACTCACTATTATGCCTCCATATTTTTGGTACTGGGGTTTTAGGCCTATGTGAAAATTTTATGTTCATTTATTTAGAGATAGGGTTTCACTATGTAACCCTGGCTGGCCTAGAACTCTATGTTGACAAGACTGGACTCGAACACACAGAGATCTGCCTGCCTCTGCCTTTGGAGTGCTGGGAATGCAGGTGTGCACTACCACAGCCAGTGATAGTTTTACTTTAAATATCTGAGTACTAGCTTTTCTGTTTCCCACAGCGGCTATGGGAACATAAATCCCCACAAACCCACAGGAAGATCTTTTCATACGGTAACAGCACTTGTCACTGTTTTGTTTGTATAACTTTCTACTGAGCACAGGGATCTTTTAGAAGTGACATTAAATGTCCCCTTCTTATAAAGGCTTCCCGGGTCACCTTACTCACCACGGAGGTCCATCTCTCTGGTATTATTTTTCCATCAAGGCCCTGTCTAGACAGCGTTAGGTCGTTGTAGTACTGAACTGATTGGACCATAATGGACAGTGTCTTTGTTGGCGACAGGATCCACAGCGTTTGTCAGACTACCCAACACACACAGTAGGTCCTCAATAAATGGTTGATTAGTGGCGTTTTTCTCTTCTACCAAAATGTCAAGTCCCTCTCCAGTCTGCCCTTTTGCTCCAGCCTGGCTCCGAACCTTTGGCTGAGTCCTCCCCACGGCGCACACCCAGGAAGATCACGACAGGAGTCCGCAAACGTTACTTGGACCTGACTTTTTAGGGACTTGGGGGTGAAGCGGGCCTGGGTTCTCAGAAGCTAAAAGGGGCGTTACCAGCAGCAGGCGGGAGAGCGGCCCGAGGCTGCGCAGCTTCTCGGCCGCCCCTGGTCGGTCTCTTTGCGCCTCTTCTCATAGCCCCGCCCCCTTCCATAGCCACGCGACCTCGTGGGCCCTTGCTATTGGTCCCTCTCTAGATGCTGTCAAGCGATCATTTCTGATTGGCCACAACCCGCCCACAACCCTCCATAGCAGCCACAACAACCGCCACGTGCTCTACCGTGGGACTTCCTCATTGGCCAGCCGCCTGGATACACCTGACTTCCCGCTCCCTCTTCCCATTGGCTTTCCGGTGCTAGGCCCGGCTCTCCCGACGCTGATTGGCCACTAGGGAACGAGGCGGGGCTTGCTGCGGGTTAAGAGCGCGGCCTCGCCGGCGCGCGCGCGCCTAGGACTTCGATGGCTGGGCAGGGGCTGGCGGCGGGCTTCCTGCAGGTGCCCGCGGTGACGCGGGCCTACACCGCGGCCTGCGTCCTTACCACCGCCGCAGTGGTGAGCGGGCCGGCCGGGCGGGCGTGGTGGCGCCATGGTTACAGTCCCTGGCCGGCCAGAGGGGGTTAGGGAGGTCGCTGGTTGCCGGCGTCTTACACGCTCCCCGTCCCACAGCAGCTGGAGCTCCTCAGCCCCTTCCAGCTCTACTTCAACCCGCACCTGGTGTTCCGGAAGTTCCAGGTGAGGTGGCCCCGACTCCGACACCTGCCAGCCAGGCCCTTGTCCTCCAGCCCCGCGCCTCACCGCCACCCCCACCTCTTTGCAGGTCTGGAGGCTCATCACCACCTTCCTCTTCTTCGGGCCCCTGGGATTCGGCTTCTTCTTCAACATGCTCTTCCTGTATCCTGGGGCCACGGGAGTGGGTGGTGAGGTCGGACTGGGGGGTGTGCTGGGCTAGGAACGGGGAAACTGAGGCCCAGTCCGCGTGGCACTTCCTATACCAGTGTTGCAGGTTCCGCTACTGCCGTATGCTGGAGGAGGGTTCTTTCCGTGGTCGAAAGGCCGACTTCGTCTTCATGTTTCTCTTCGGGGGTGTTCTTATGACTGTATCCTTCCTGTAGGCTATTATTGGGCCAAGGGACACCTCTGTCTATGAAGTGCCCAGGCCGGAAGAGACCAACATTCAGGGCCTAGCAGCCATGTAGTCTAGATGCCCCAGAGCTAGATCAGTGTCTCTGCAGAGCACAACGGGGAGAAAATAGGATAGACTGGTAGAATACTGAGGCTCTGAAACGTGAATGCAAGAGCCAGAGAAAGGAGCAGTCATGGATGGAGCCGGGGTACCTGCACGCCACAGAGAGGGGGATCTGCTTGATATGGAATAGACCAGGGATATGAGGAAACCTGTTGAAAGAGCCAGGGAGGCACTGTGGGCAGCAAACTGCTCCAGGGCACCTTGACTCTGGCCCAGCTGCTGGGATTCCTGGGCAGCCTCTTTTTCCTGGGACAGGCCCTCATGGCCATGCTGGTCTATGTGTGGAGCCGTCGCAGCCCTCAGGTGAGGGTCAACTTCTTTGGATTACTCAACTTCCAGGCACCATTCCTGCCCTGGGCCCTCATGGGCTTCTCGATGCTGCTGGGCAACTCCGTCCTCACAGACCTGCTAGGTGAGCCTGACCACTCTTCCCACTCACCTCAGGCCAGCTGCTCCCATCAGGGTATGCAGCTCACACACACATCCCTTCCCCCTGCACCAGACCTTTCTCCCGTGCACCTCCCAAATTCCTCTTCCTGTCCCAACTGTCATGTTCTTAATGCCCCTCAAGCAGTCCAGCTGGCCCCCAGGATTTGCATCTGTGGTCGACCTGAAGACACTAGAGTTGGTCCTGCGTGGGGGTGGTTACAGTTTCTGCTTCCTGGTTCCTACTCCTCCAGTCTTCTCAGGTCCCTAGTCCTGCCCCCTCCCCAGGTACTGTCCACTTTTGGGCCCCTTTATGCCTTTCAAAGCCAGTTCTGATCTCACCCTGATGGCAGGTAACAGGGTGCTTGTGCTCTGGAACCTGGGGCTATACTGGGCTGTGAAAGATGGCCTCTGCCAGCCTTCGGCTCTCTTGCAGGCATTGTTGTGGGCCACATCTACTACTTCCTGGAAGATGTCTTTCCCAACCAGCCTGGAGGCAAGAGGCTGCTGCTGACCCCCAGCTTTCTGTGAGTGTGGGACAACTGTTTTCCCTCCTTTGGGGGCAATCTACCTACTCCATGGGGAAACTTGTGTTTACCGCAGCTCAGTATAGGTGTCCCCTCCCCACAGGAAGCTACTACTCGATGACCCTCAGGAGGACCCCAATTACCTGCCCCTTCCGGAAGAGCAACCACAGCCCTGAGTGCAGCCCCTGGAGCAGTAAGCCCACTTGGTCAGCCTGAGGCTCCTGGCAGAGTTCTACCTTCTCTTATGCCCAGCACCCCATCCAGAAGGCTGGGCCCACCTTGGGGCCTCAGCCAGCAACACTCTACATCCCCTGTAGCATCTCTGCTCAACTGTAGATGGTAGGACACGAGGCCCCGAGAGGGTGAAGACTGCCAACAGATGCCTAGTAGAGCTCTGAACTCAACTAATACAGACCTCCAGTTCTCATCTTCATGCTGCCAGCGCCTTGCTGGAGCACTGGCAACAAGTCCTCACCACCCAGGATCATGCCCAGTCTACAGGTATCCTGCCTGGGTGCCTGTGGGCTGATGCCCGTCCTATCCTAGCCTCTCTGTCCTCTTTTAAGGCAAGCAAGTGTTCACGTTCATCTCCGGCTGGTGACCCAAAAGTCCCATGGGCTCAGGTGTAGAGAACAAGTTTGGTCCTCTGTCACTCTAGTGAGCCCAGGATCTTGAGCTCTACCTTAGCAGAACCCTGTGTGTAGCAGAGGTAGTTCTGGGACATTCCGTTTGCTGAAGGCCTGTGAGTCCTTCCTACCCGCACCTATCTGAACTGAGGATGTCAATGTGGCCAGTTTTCCCTGTTGCTCCACATGTGCTCCCCTGGGGCTTACTCCTGGATGCCCAACAGCATGGGATTCCCCCAACCACTGCTTGTTATTTCTGTGGTAACAAAAATGTTTTCTACTGAGTCTGACTCAATTTCATAGTGAAACCTGGGGGCTGAAGCCGTGTTGCTGCATGGAAGTGCTCAAAGCAGGCAGGCTCTAGGGGTGTACGGGGAGAGGGGTAGAACACTCCCCAGGAGGACCCCACCCTCCGAGAGGGTAGTAGCAGACTGTAACTGCGGTACTGCGGTACTGGGATCACTGTCTTCAATTACAAACCCGCACGCCCAGTTTGCCAAGTGCAGACCCATCTGCCACCTTGATGGATGCTGTGTCTATTCTATACCACACCACAAACCAAGGACAAAGGGAATGAGGAGCTTGGGGTGGGGGTAGAGGGCTGTACCTCTTCTCCATACTGCCAACTTAAAGGATGGCACACGGCTGGTGTGCTATTTCCCCAACCTCACAACAGGCTGGGGAAGAAGCTGGTCCTGGCCACAGTGGAGATGGGTTTAGTTAACCTTTCTTGGGTTGCTAGAACAGAAGACTTCCTGTTTGTGTACTAGTGATGTCATGTCCAGGTGCCGCCCACACATGACCAAGTCCTCTAGAAAGGACTCTAGAGCGACGTGGTCCCTGCAGCTGGCAGCGGCCTGTCTGGATGCAGAGGACCAAGGCCAGCAAACGAGCCTCAACCTCTACAGAGACTTGCTGAGCACAGAGCTGCACAGGGAAGCTGCTGGAAGGCACAAGGACGAACAATGACTGGGCTCTGCTGTGGGGGAGACCCAGTGATCTCCATTACTCACTTGAGAATCTGAGGGCAAGAAGGGCAAGGTTGGCCCACCAACCTTGACCAAGCCCTCTGCCATCCACGCAGGCCCCACCTCAGGCCCCACTCCTAGCTCTAGCTCACATTTTTATGTTCTCAACACCAAAGAAGCTCAACTGGTTACTTTTATTTAAAAAGTGTTGCTAGCTCTGTCTGGGGCTCCTATACAAAAAAAACAACAACAACCCAAATGAGGCTGCTTCCTGACGCTGACTCGGGGGACAGGGCTGGGGCCGAGCAAATGGAATGTGTGCTGAAGGCAGGCACCCGGAGGCCCTACCCCATTCCTCAGGGTGGCACCAGCTGTCCTCTGCCTCTCTTTACCACAGAGGAAGGGAAGGCAGTCTTTTGAGATGCTCCGTGGAAGTTGAGCATGGATGGCTTCATCACCAGGCTGGGGCAGTGTTGGCGAGACGCCTCATTCGCCTGGAGTAGGAGAACAGGTGGTCAGCGGGGCCGCTCACAGCTCTGGGTGGCCACCCTCCTAGGGGTGTTATTTTCTCTAGAGGAGGTGGTGTGGGGCCCATCTAGAAGGGATCGTCTCCAGCCCTTTTCTTGACCTTGCCAGTCTGCTGCACTGGCCCTGCTAATCTTATAGAAACCCTGAGACCTGCTAGGGGATGTTGTTCTCTTCAAGGAAATGTACCCTGGGGCCTGATCCCCACAGAAACTTCCCCTTAAAACTAGGTTCCTAGGGAGAAGATACCCCTGCCTCTGCCAGGGAAGATAGGTGCCTAGGGGTGTACCTTGTGTTCCGGTCTTGATCCCGGATCTTCTTCTCCATCTCAGCATCGGTCAGTGTCTCCAGCAGGGGGCACCACTGATCAGCGTCCCCGGTATTTCGGATGGCAATCTCAACTGTGGGAAGTGGGTTCTCACTGAGGGAAGGGAAACAGGGAGAGGAACAAGGACTAGTTAACAGGATGGCAGCTCGGAAGTCCCCCAGAAACCACTGCTTTCTACTCTGCTGTTCCTTAGCAGATGGCCAGGGCACAGCAGGAAGGCCCACTTCCTTGTCTCTGCTCCTCCCGGCAGCAAAGCCGATGGGCAGCTGCGAGAGGACTTCTGTCACTGAACCTCAAGCAGGATGCCAGAACCTGTCTAGCAGAAACAGTACTACCTACAGCCTAGGCAGTCTCCCTTCAAGGCCAGTTCTCGATAAGAAGAACTGAGGGAGCTGCTGGCTATGGAGGTAGTTTCTTTGGACAGAATAGTGTCTCGGGTACAGCTGACTGATAGAGACTGCAGCCAGGCCTAGCTGCTACCTTACACTGTCCAGCGTCAGTACCCACCAAGACCCACTGATCAGGGAAACACCACCAACACCAAAGGGATGGGGGTGGAGTTGTAACAGGATTTCTCCAGAGGCCTCAAGCTCCTCACAGAAGGCCACTGGGTGGGCCTGCTCTTTGCCGTTCTATACACACCTATCCCTTGGCTCACTTCTCACACTAAGTCCCAGAGAAGCCAGCCTATTTGCTTTGAGACAGACAGCTGGTTGGCAGAGAACTGGGCCTAGAGATGATATCTCAGGGCTTAGAGTCCTTCAGGGAGCACCTGACTGCACACTGGAGTATGGGGGTCATCTGTCCAAGCCTCTTGCCAACGGACACAATGGTGTGAAGAAAATAGGAGGGAGGCTGCAAGGGTCCAAGTCCTGGGGACGGGTGGCTGTGCCGCTCTGCACCTCGGTTTCCAAGTTGTAAGAGGCAGCCAAGGAGGTACCCAATGTGTCTCACAGCAAGGCTCTACCCAGGTCCTCTCCTCCCTCCACTGTCACACTGCCCTTCCAGCTAGGTGGCCTCCCTGTCACTTGAGGAGATGGCCTCCCCACTCTACCTACAATCTTAGTCAGGTGTGTGCCCACCTGCCATCCTGCAGGACCTTGTCAGCTCTGGGGAAGGAGGAGACGGAGCCCAAGTGATACTTGGCAGATGAAAATGGGATAAACAAGCTGACTGGGCTGTTTCGGTCTTTGTCTGAAATACGGCAGCAGAGTTTACTATCGGGAGGCTTAACATTAAACAGCCAACATTCACTGCAGAGGCCTCTTCAGAGCCAGACAAGTCCTTACACAGCCTCTCCCAGGCTTCAGGAATGGTGGACTTCACAAAAGCAAACTCCTACACCAGATTGGATTGTCGAGTCACAATTCTTCATCACTGCACTAAGCCAGTATAGGCCAAACCTGGCATCTGAGAGCCCACCCTAGCCCAACTCTGAAAGGTTGGGCTTGGGCCAGTTCTTGGCATAAGGGCTTCAGGGACCTTGAGCCTGGATTAAAGCCAGAGTATGGGTGAAGCTGGTTCCACAGACTGGGGGAGCCCTGGCTTCTTGCAGACACAGGTCTGACTTACTACTGAAGCTTGGCTGACAACATCTATACCCACAGGCTCCATAGAACCTGGAAGCCCAAACTCTTACTAGTGACTCAGAGGCCAGGCACCAGTCAGCCCCCACCCTGTGGTCCCAGGGCAGGCCTCTTCTCAGCAGCTTCATTTGGAAATCCAGGAACGGCCCAGGCAGACTCATCCCTCATCTCCAGGTCATCTCCCTTGGGAGGGCAGGCTTGAAAGGCGCCAAGCCCAGGCAGAAGGAAACAAAACATGTTTTTCTCTGAATTTAAATAAGAGCTGGCAAACAGGCCCAGAGGCCCCTTTGTTTACCTCCTTGACTCTGGGAAGATTTCACACCATGGGTTTGTTCAAAAATAGAACTACTAGAGCTGACCATGAAGGAATGGGCATTGAGCCAACACTAGCTGCCTCGGCTTTATGGGGACATGCAAGGAGAGATGCTGCCCTGAGCCCCAAGTCTGTGAGCCAGGACCCTGGACATTCTCTGACCACACAAACACCCCTTTAAAAGCTGTTAGAAGACGCTAATGGAGTGGATTCAAGTTGACTTTTGATGTAAGAGTTTTGTTGTTTTTTTCTCTGTGTAGTCCTGCCTATCCTAGAACTTAATATGTAGACCAGGCTGACCTCGAACTCAGAGATCTACGTGCCTATGCCTCTCAAATGCTGGAGTTAAAGGTATGTGCCAACATGCCAGATCTGGATGTAGGACTTTTTTCTGTGATGTACAGGCAAGCTAAGAAGCAGTATCATCCTCCCTGTATGAAGAAGAGAATGGGGACTTCAGAAAGAAATGACCTGTCTAAGGCCACTTAACTGGGGGGAAAGGAGACCGAATTCTACACTCACCCTTATATTTGCAAGCCACAGCTGCCATACCCCTTAAGACAGGATGAGAGTTCCACATACTCACTAGGAAAGGGCAATCTGTGGGCAAACTGCTGATACAATATGCCTCTGCATTAGGCAATGGTTTCTAAAATGTCACAGACACACACACAGACACACACAGACACACACAGACACACACACACAGAGCAACCAACTAAAAAAGCCAGGTGAACTGAACTGTTATCAAAATAACAACTTTTGTGCTGCAAAGGACACTATCAAAAGAGTGAAAAGGCAACTCAGAGGGTGGGAAAAAATATTTACAAATCATACCTACTAAGGAATGTGTATCCAAATTATATGGAGAACTCTTACAAATCAAGAAGAAAAAGAAAAACTGGTTAAAAACACAAGCTAGTAAGATGGCTCAGTGTAAGGTCCTGAGTTCAATCCAGAGTACTCACATGGTAGAAAGAAAGAACTTCCTCCCAAATTTGTCCTTTGACATCCACACATATGTATATGCACATATTCCCCCCCCCCCAAAAAAAATAAACTGGGGTTGGGGTGAATGACCTGAACAAGCCACTTTCAAAGACATATATACATAAAGGGCCAATAATAATGAAGAGATATTCTCTAGTAGACACAACTCCAGCCTATCACTTGACACTCACCAGGATAGCTAGTCAGAACAGCAAGACAAGCCCTGGCCGGGGTGTAGAGCCTGGGCCCACAGCACTGGTGGGTTCTGCAGGACGCTGTAGCTCTGTGAAAAACAGCTCAGCAGTTCCTCAAATGCCAGGTATGACAGCTCATCATATGATCCAGCCTCAGAGAAGGCTGAGCCAGGAGGACTGCCATGAACTATATATTAGAGGCTAGTCTGAGCTACAAAGTGCGATCCTGTCTCAATAAAACAAGCGAAACACAAGTTAACCAGGAATAAACAACATAATCCAGAAATATCAGAGAGCCAAGAGAACCGCCAAGAGTGTTTAAACACAAATATACAAATGTCCTAGCATGATTTACTATAGCCAAAAAGTAGAAGCAACCC